CCCACTGCACTTGGGCAGGAAAGACCACTTGAGATAATGTTATAGAGGAATAAATCTATTGATTTTTACACTGAGATTTTGTTGTTATTGTTGTTATTGCTGTAATTCAAGTCCTTCAACATATGGCCAAGTGCCAGAAAGTTTTCATTGTGCATAAGAGTAAGATAGGAATAAAATGCCCTAATTTGGTAAAGTCCTTGGGCTGTGCTGCCATCCTTGATTTGTCATGCATCTTACTCATGGAATCTGTGCATTGAATTTTTTCTTAATAGCAATCGGGTAACTGGTAGAGGTGCACCAATACATCAGTCCATATTGTATCGGCACTGATAAAAGGAAAATTGATGTAGGCAATTTTTGACTGATTCGGCTGATAATGTCGCAGATAAATGTTACATGCATGTGCACAGCCACAGCATGCATGTGGCTAGCCTGGCAGCTTGAAGAGTAGCATCCATCTGGTAAGTCCGATGGGGCGGAGGGGAGGGAAGGGGCATGGGATGCAAATCGAGGCCCCCACAGTGAGGGAAGGAGCGGGGCAGGGGCAGGCACTATCCAACCAGAGTGGGACAGGGTGTGGGACAGAACTGCAGGGAATGGGGGGGAAGAGGGAGTGACTCCTGCCACTGTGTACACCCCTGGGGGAGGCATAGTGGGGGTGGGCCTCCTGGATCTGTGTGTGGGATGAAGCCAGGCTGCGGCTGTGGGCTGGGGGTGGTGCTGAGCTGTTCCTGACAAGAGGGGTTAAGCCAGATCTGTGCTGGGCAATGCTGGCACTGGAGTGGGGGCTATGGGAGAGCTATAGTGAATTCTGGGGTGGCTGTAGCCCTTCCTGTAGCCCCCCTCCCAGCGCTGCCACCTACCCCAAATGCAGCCCCAACCCAAACTCAAACCAAGAAGAGCCAGGCACTGCCCTGGCCCCAGTCTGCAATGGGCAACTCACCCTCGCCCCACACACAGATCTGGGGGGCATATGTCCCCCATGCCTCCCCTAAGGGTGTACTCAGTGGCAGGAGCCACTACCCTCCCACTTCCTTCAGCTCTGTCCCACACCCTGTCCCGCCCTGGCTGGGCAGCACCTGCCCCATTCCCTCCCTCACCATGGGGGCTTCTATCTACCCCCCCATGTCCTTCCCCTCTCTGCCCCTTCCCCACAACAGACTTACCAGATGGATAGTACTCTCCAAGTGGCCAGGCTGCATGTCAGCAATCAGATCAATATCAGTTGATATGGCTTGTTAATAATTGGCCATCAGTATCAGCCCAAAAAATCTTTATCAATGCACCCATAGTAGCTGGGTATAATTTTTCTCTATCCCCCTCCCTCCTGTCCCTTAGAATTTTATCCTTTCTGCTTTCACTCCTGCTGACTTCTCTTCCCATTACACTGCCAGACATAATGCAAAGCAACCTTCAGAAGACCTAATGACATAAGGTCAGGAGGAAGTATAGAACAATAAAAGCATTAGAAAAATGGCTGAGAAAATGAAACCTTAAAATTACATAAAATAAACCATTTTGCACTGGGGGTAAAATTGCCACAAGGTAAGTTCAGCCAAGTGTAAAAAAGGGCTTAATGCTCAGTCAGTTTGTGGAACCAAAAATATAATAGGCTCATTCTCACAGACTAAAACATGGTGTTTGACAAATGAGAGGGTTTTTTTGGCTCTGTTTCCAAAAGATGCTGATCACATGCAGTTCTGACTTCTACAGTTAAGGGTTTGGTCCAAGACTCAGTGATTTCAATGGGAGGTTTTCCATAGGCTGCAGTGGAATTTTTGATCAAGTGCTCATCTCCTGGGAAAGCAGGAGGTCTCTGGCATTTTAGCACACTATTAAAGCTTTAAGAAACAATGGCACCTGTTCTCCAAATTGCTAAATTCATGTCCTTGCTTTACCATCCTATATTCTGGGGCTGCTGAGCACAGAACATTCCCTTATAATAAAGGGCTTAGTCTTGTCTGTCTGTCCGTAACACTTTTGATCAAGTGCACATGTGCTGCCGCCAAGATAGGGTTACCATATGTCTGGGTTTCCCCAGATGTGTCCCCACTCTTTTTAAGCCCTATGATCTCTGTCCGGGCAGGTTGTCTGGGATTTCCCTTTGCTGTGCTGGTGGGAGCAGGGGGAGTGCGATTGCAGGTAGCAGGAAGCACACATGGACAGGCTTGCAGCTGTGGAGGTGCACAAACCCACGTGGTGCTCCCTGCTGCCTGTGGTCACCTTCCCCTGCACCCACACCTAGAGCAAAGGAGAAATACAGACATTTGGTCAGGAGAGAGGGGGAGGGGAAGGTTGCCTGTTCTCCAGGGGGGGAAGGGGCTGGGGGCTACGAGGGCAGCAGGGAACTCTGTGGATAACCCGCAGCACAGGGGCTGGTGCCTGTGGTCCAGGGGCTGAGCAGCCACAAGATGCTGTGGAGGGGCATGGAGGTGGGGAGGGAGAGGGGAAGAGGGCCATGGCCAGGCTGCCTGGTGCGGTGCAGCAGCCTCATCCCAAGGCAGGGGCTGCCACAAGCCTCCCCTCCTCTTCCCTCAGCATTCACTGGGGTCAGACATGCTCCGCTGCTACCTGCATGAATCGAAGACACCGCTCTCTGGCCCAGTGAGTGTGGGACAGCTGGGGCCTCCCCAGCAGGGCTGGGGGGACAGGGGACTGCTAGTCAGGAGTGTGGGGCCCCGGGGCGGGGGCAAGGGACTATGGGTTGGGAGTGCGGGGGGTACTGGCAGTGCCAGGGGGCTGTGGGTCAGGAGTGAGGGGCACCAGCAGGGATGGGGGGGTGGGAGGCTGCAGGTCAGGAGTGATGGGCACCATCAGGGCTCAGGCAGGCAGGGTACTGCAGTTTGGTGAGTGAGGGACGCTGGCAGGGCTGTGGTCAGTGTGTTGGGAGTCATGGGCAGCAGCAAGGCTTGGGGGGCTATGGCTTGGCAGTGAGGAACAACAGAATGGGCAGGGGCGGGGCAGACCATATAAACACTCCTTTGAAATCCATCATTCATGATGGGCATTTGGCTAGTTTTTCAGGATTTGCATCTTGTATACTTCTCACCATTCATTTCAGTAAAGCTGTTTACATTTGTATAGTTGTGTGTGTGCGCGTGTATATATGCACATATATGTATGTGTATATGTAAGTTAATGTATGCAAAAAACAGGGTGTTTATGGAAATACGTACGGTGGAGGGAATAAGATTAGTCCATTTTATGACACCACAAGATCCTCTTTTTAAAAGTAATTTCACAGAGAACTTCTGAAGTTGCTTTCCCAGGAATAACTGTGGCCCTCTGGATGTGGATGCTGGTTTTATGGTCCCTATTTGTCACATTATATTTTTCTTTGTGGCACTTGATACCTGTGGCCATAGATGAACAGATCCTATGTAAAGTCCTAAGGCACTGCCCTGGGGACTCTATACACTTGAATGAGCGCTGACAAAATACATGTCTCATCTTACATGCCCCAGCATTGCAGATGATTTCCTTATCTTTGTATCTCTGTACTCCTCTTGGATATCAGTTAGACAATTCAGTCTGGCTTTTCAAGGCTATTCACATGTCAACCAGATTTATTTGTCCCTTTTAATGAACATCCAGTAGTTATGGCATTCTCCATCCTCCGTCATTGGGTACCTTTCAGACATCAGATTTTGAATAGAACAGAAACAGTCTGAAGATCACTCCAGGTAGATAACTGATGCTATTCTAATTTGCTAACTACATCTTCTGTGTACTTGTCTCTTCCAGATTCTTTTTGTAGGTAATTTAATCATTTTGACTGTCTTTGAAGTTCAAGACTTGGGTCTAATCATGGATATAATTTGATCTACAGAATTAGCCTCTTATTTTGACACACAATGTCATATTGCCGAATGTGAAATATTACCAAATAACCTCTCTTTCTTGAGCAGCTAAATGTTAAAAGATCATCCTACACTTTCGTTATGTGGAGAATTTAATATAACATTTTCCTAGTTCTTTCTGTTGTCTCCTGTCCTATCATGAATAGCACTTACTTGTCTTTGTTTTAAGCACTGTCTCATTATGGTGCTGGTTGAGCTTGGGGCTGTTTAGGGTACAGGCAGATGAACACCTTACCATGATGTAAGCTAGGGTGTGAACTTAGTGCATCAGCTGTTCTTCAGTAACTGCCTGTATGCATGCTCTTAACCCTACAATATGAGAGAAGTAGTGTGCCTGAATTTGCCTTTCACTTATCAAGGGGTCAGAGGCACCATGAGTTATGTTGTAGTATCTGACACACTCTAAGTTCACACCCTAGCGTACCTCATGGCAGGTTGTCTGTCTGTCTGTACCTTACACAGCCCTAAGCTCAACTAGCATCATAATGAGGTAGTGCTTAAGACAAAGACAAGGAAGTGCTATTCAATATTTAATTTGTTTTGTGGCTGCTTAAGTTCCAAATATTTGGTTAAACAGAATTTTTAATGTTCAGAAGCAAAAATATTAATAACCAGATATAATAAGCCTCACTCCAATTGTTCTCATCTGTTTTTTTAAATGAATATTGATTAAAAGATTTAGAGGCACTTTGAGACTGAAATCCGCTCTCCACAAGGGAGGGATAACTTGGATGACACTGCCAGCTGCTTCTATGCCAATGTACTTCAAACTTTATGAGGAAGACTGGAGAGTACTTTGTTCTCCAACTTGTGTTTATGTACAGGAGGGACAATTGTGGTTGTGGTTTTACAGACCTTTGCCTCACTCAGATACAAGTTTGGCTGAATCTTGACTGGGAATTGCTAATCCATTTGATATAGATTAGGTTGTAAAGAGTATAGATCAGTTCTAACCTGGCCTGAATTTGAACTAGATTCTGCAAAGGCAGAGATTCTAGGTATTGATAATAGTTTCCTTGAGGAATATAGACCTCTTCTTTCTCTCTCTCAGTCTTTGTCTATTCTAATAACTTTTTGGAAGGGTGGAATGTCTGCTTTTGTTTGCCTGACCAACTAAAGTCATTATGCTGTGCTTTCCAGAGTTGACAATTCAGAAGACCCTGTGTACGAGAGCTTGGAAGAGTTCCATGTTTTTGTCTTAGCCCATATCTTGAGAAGACCAATTGTTGTAGTAGCAGACACAATGCTAAGAGACTCAGGGGGAGAAGGTAAGTCTTTTATTAGCAATTTTTAGAACTAACTAAATCAACTCGGTTATCACAGACAAAAGACGCATTCAAACAGATCTCGGTATTTTATAAAGCATCTTCTGATGCTTCTGAAATAGAAAGCAGAATGGCAAGAGAATAATTTCATTTAGGGCAATGCAAAAAATGTATCTAGGACACTAGCTGACCAGATTACTAAGGGGCTTTGATACTCTGTTCCCCAAGACGCTGAACATAACTGAACTATCCAAGGAATTTTAGAACATAACAAATTTAATAAAAAATGTATGGCAGTCTTACGTAATTATGACTAAAAAAATGAACTACATTTCAGACTTTTTTCCATTTGTGAAGCCCACAGCATTCCTTTGAGTTCCTGCATGTAACAAAACATATACAGCACTATGAATATTTGCCCTTTTTAAAAAAAAAGGTATTAATATTTGAGACATCCACAATAAAGTTCATCAGGTAATAGGTTTTTGTCAGCAAAATACTAATTCTGCTGTACCTTCTTCTCCTCTCCCTACCAGCCCTCCATAATCATAATTTCGCTATCAGCAGCTGCACTTCTTTTGTAATATGTTTTTCCCCCACAAATTGATTTCCTTATGAAATTTGAGCCACTATTTTATGTGCTCTACAGTTCTGTGGTGTGCTGTATAATTCTATGCAGTGGCCTGAGCAGGCGTCACAAGTGGTGCAGTATGGCCAGAGCAGTAGCCATGCTCTGTGTGGCACTCACCCTGGCAGTTTCTGGACGGTTCCTCATGAGTTGCCCATTCCAGCCAGGCCTGGACCCATGCTGCATGTGGTGCCTGTGAGGGCCGTAAGTAGCACGTGTCCTAGAATGGGTGTTACATATGACGCAGTCCAGCTGAGGCAGGTACCAACTGGAGCAGCCACCAAATCAGATATGCTGGGGCGGGAGAAGAGAGGGGGTCCATGGGCCCAGTTTGGCTCATGGACAGGCCCCAAGCCACTCATCCAGGCCACGGGGCCAGACACCCCTGCTTAAAAGGGTCTTGCCCTGCATGGTTGAGAATCACTGTTCTACATGGACCAGCACTAGAGGAGGAGGATGCATATACATTATTAATATGTTCAGAGATGTGGGGCGGAAAATTTTCTGGGAAATTTTCCAGTGCTTTATTTTTCTGTGGGAAGTGTTCCATTTTTAAAAATTCATTGTTTCATAAAATTAATTAGTAACAATGAATGGATGCCAATATAATATTAGGCAAGCTTGTCAGTTTCAAAGTTGTAATTAATGTTTTTCAGGTGATTATCCCTAAAAGCGTGTGACAGAATACATATATGTTTTATTGATTTGTAAACAAGAGGGTAAATACACTCCTATAACCCAAACCAAAATCAAGTTATGAATTCACCTAATTGTCTGTGCAGGTCAAATCAAAACCAAAGCTAAAATTCTTATTTCGTCTCAGACTGCAAGTGAAATCAAAACCAAAACTAAAACTGTGATTAATTTTTGTTTCTCTTTCAGTTCAGCAAACACACAGAGCAGTGTCTCATTTATTTTCTTGAGTTGGGGAAGTTGGAAGTGTTTGCATAAGATGTGTTAGTTTTTTAGTGCTTTTGGTTTGAAGTAGTCATAATAAAGCCTAATGAGAAAAAAACTAGTGTGGGGCATCATTAGAGTGAAGTTCAAGCCACTGAAGGAAGGAAGAAAGTTGGTAGATGTAAATATTGTGGGCAGGAATATGATAACAACACAACAAGAATGAAGAAACATATAATAACATGTAGAAACAGTTCTGAAAGAGTACAAGCCATATACAGAAAGCTAATACAGTGAAGTGGTGGAACAACATCGTCTGAGAAAAGTCTACTTCAGGAATCCTATGTAAGTAAACAAATTAATATGTTAAACAATGCACAGTATAGACTAGCATCTATATTGTTTTAAAACATTATACTTTTAAAAGTTGTTAATGCAACTCTGAACTATTGTTTATTTGTTTATTTATTATTTAAATATTTGTATCTTGCTTTTCTGCTTGCACTTATCACCCAAAGTGGCTTAGGCTTAACAATAATTTTTTTTAAATGACATAATAGATAAATAGTTAACTATTTCAACCCAGTAGAGCGAGCTTAATCCTCTGGCCAATGGCAGAGGACAAACTATACTTCCCTTTGGCTCTGCAGTCCCAGGGCAACTGAGCAGCAAATTGAGCAGCAGAGTGTTCTTTCTGGCAGGGAGGGGGGAAGCAAGCTCCCAGCTGCTTCTCCTTCTCCTTCTGGTGGATAAGGCCAGACTAGAATAGGCTAAAATAAAAATATTTTCCCCCTTTTGTTGCAGGAACTTGGTAGCTCAAGTGAAATAGCAAAAATGGCAAAAAATGGAAAATGAAAACGTTGAGCTGCCAGGTCTGGGGGAAGAAGAAGCAGGATCCTCACTTTCAAGATCACTGTCACCAGATATGCGATCCACCATGGGTAGCTGTTCAAGACAGTCAAGCTTTGTATCAAGCTTTGTGGACAAAATGTGAAAAGCAGATCAAGAAAAAGCAGATGCGACATAAGCTCGAGCTATATGTGCAAGTGGTACACCTTGTTCCGTAACTGAAAATCAGTACTGGAAGGAACATTACAAACTGATTCACTCATCATATAAGTTGCCACCATGTTATCATTTATCCCATTCTCTCTTAGATTGAGAGTTTGACAGAATTCAAACAATGGTTACTCAAAGGATTCGTCAAGCAGAATCACCTACTCTGATGTTAGGTGGATGGACTGATATACCAGGAAATCCTTTATTGAACATAACGTTAGCAACACCTGAACCAGTATTCCTGAAAGCAATTTCTACTAAATATTCTAGTTATACAGGTGAATACATAGCCAAATTACTGCATGAAGAGATTGAAAGTGCAGGTCCCTCCAGGGTACAAGCCCTTGTAACTGATAATGCAAGTAACATGAAAGCTGCATGGCAAATATTAAAGACTAAGTATCCTCATTTAGTAGTATTTGACTGTCTTGCTCATGGGTTGAATCTTCTGACAAAGGACACAGTAAGTGTGAATACATGAAGACAATGTTGGCAAAGTGCAAAGCGATTGTGAAGGTATTCAGCTGTCATCATGTTGCTAATCAGACTTAGAAGAAATTACAGAAAAAGATGCAGGGGAAAGAAAATGCATTTTTATTGCCAGGAGAAAGTAGATGGGTCCTGTCTACAAAGTGTTTACATAGTTTGCTGTGCACAAAGAACTGTTTGCAGTCTGCCTCAATAGATGACACAGTATCCCAAATTATTCCTGTGAACATTCAGAAGCAGATTCTCGGCAATGATGTGTTCTGGGTTCGAGTTCAAGGAGCATTCAACTTGCTACTACCAGTTTCAGTGGCTATCAAGAAACTTGAAGGCCTTGCAAATATTCAAGAGATATTCAGACAACTGAATGACAATCTAATTGAGCTTTTTGCCTTCTTCACCTCTATCCAAAAAAGAAATAGTAGTAAAACAAATGTTTACTATGAGATGTGAATTTTGCAGTTCATCTGGCTGCAAACATTTTGGATCCCCAATACAGAAGACAACATTTATCAGAAGATGAATTATCTACTGCTCTTGATACAATTATGGAAGTAGCTAAGAATGTCCCCAACATCAACGAAATAGTTGTGATGACAGGCATTGCCGAGTACTGCGCAAAAGAAAACTTTTGGAGCATAGACATCATTTGGCAGGCAGCAGAGAATACGTCTCCTCGCACATGGTGGAAGGGATATTGTAACACCCGACTTGTCCAGGATTGCTCTAAGGATCCTAAGCATTCCCCACCACAGCTTCTTGTGAACAGAACTGGAAGGCCTTCTGCTCAATCAAGACAAAAAAGAGGAATAGGCTAACAAATGAATGCACTACTAAGCTTGTTTCTATTTCTCAAAATCTCTTGCTTTTGGAGAATCAGAAGCACAATTACTGAAGAAGATGCAGTGCAATGATAAGTTGCCCTTGCCCATAGACTCATTGGTAAAATCATCCTTTAGTGAAAGAGAACGTGGTTCAAGTAGTTCTGAATCAGATTTGCCTCAGTCTGATTCTGAAATGGAACTAATAAGTAGTGCAAGTGCTTCTACCAATAGTGACAGTGAAACAGGAGGTGTCACAGTGACCTCAGTAGAAGAGAGTTAAACTCTGTTGAAGTGGATGAGTGGACAACCATGGCATATCAAGCACAGTTCTTTGGGTGTGCTAAAATTAGTGTGTCAACAGTTTTCAGTGCTTGTGGGTTTTTTTCTTAAATTTAAACGAACATAAGGGAAGTACATCTTATTGTGTATTGTCTTTACATTTTTACAAGTATTCCAATTAAAATAATTTCTTTCCACGTAAAGCTCTCAATTTCTTTGAGTATAACGTTAAACCATGCTAAGTGTGCTGTATTTAATTTTTTTCCTAATGAAATATTACAGTTCCAATACTTACAGCTATTGGGACATAAAATTAACATGGGGGTACTTTTTTAGTTTTGTTTACTAAATATAAGTCAAATAAACATGCTAAATCAGATCACGCTCTATTGAGGGCATTGGAAAATTTTCCAATTCAAAATTTTCCAGAAAACCCACATCTCTGAGTACATTCCACAGATATTTGCCGACACCAGAGGAAGCTTGATTCTATTCCAAGCTAAATGAGGTCTAGGGGATATAAAATCTGTCCAGCCCTGACACAAAGCCCACCCTTTGCTAAGGCCCTGGGTCAAAGAATGTAATCACTGAGCTGTTTAAAGAAAAGGCCACCAAATTGTCTAATAAGGGCAAAATTATGTATTTTTTCCCCCAGCCTCATGCTTGGAAATACCTTCACGATTTTGATTCAAGCTTAAAAAAAATCAGCCTGAGTGAGGCAAAACCCTGCATAGTGCCATTTTCAGCCCAAATTGATGCTGTTATGCAATGTTGTAAGCAGTTGAAAATGGCATTTTATTACAAGAAGTGTCTGACAACTTAATAGGTGG